TTTTAGTTCCTTAGCCATCGGAGTTTCTCGTCTGTTCTTCGCCGCTCTCGAGGTCGAAATTTTCTTCTGGTTTTGTTCGTTTGCTAGTTTTCTGCTCGATTGTGTTTAAGCGTAGTCAATCTCTATGAGACTTTTACGTTTCATCCAATCATTGGAGTTTTTTGGATGTTTTCTTCGAAGCTAGGGTTTCAGATCTGAATAATCTTCAAGGCCTTTTACTTCTTTAGGTCGCGAAGAAGTTTGATACATTCTTTCCTGCTTTTACACTTCTATTGGATTTGTTGTGTCAGGTGATTCTCTGTTATTAGAAATTAGTTGTTTGTTTTTGAGAAATTTTCTGAAAATTATGGGTGATTCCAGTTCAAATACTGGTCCTTATGTTCCTGAACCTACTAGTCCCTTGTTTCTCCTTCCTTCTGATGTCCCAGGCGTATCTCTTGTCACCGTGCCCTTCTCTGGGATAGGTTTTCGGGGGTTAGAGGCATAATATGAAGTCTCTCCGTCCGCAAAAAAAAAAGGGCGTTATAGATGGTTCGTGCACTAAACTTACTGAGATCTCTCCTCAATATAGGCAATGGGATTGATGTAACAACATGGTTAACCAATTTCTTATCCCCGAATATTGGTGAGAGTGTACAATATTCAGAGACAACTGAGAGTATTTAGAAGCAAATAAATAACAGATATGGGACTGTTAGTGGAACTAAAGTTGTTGAGATTAAAAGTGAACTTTCCTCCACTTACCAAGGATCTCTAGATATTGCCTCCTACTTTAATAAACTTAAGGAACTTTGGGATGAGCTGGAGATTATGCGCAACAGTCATGCTAGTGCTTGTGCTTGTGCTGCTAAAGAAGGTCTCCAAAAAGAAAAGGAAGAAGCTAAGGTTCATCAATTTCTAATGGGTATGAATGAAATTTATGTAGGAGTTAAAAGCAATATCCTAATGATGCACCCATTGCCATCCCTTGATAATGTCTATAATATACTTCTCCAAGATGAAAAGTAAAGACAATTCCTTCCAAATGCACAAACTTATTCTGAATCAGCTTCTTTCCATGCAAATTCAAACAAGTTTCCTCCTCAATTTTCCCCTCAACAAAATTATCCATAGAAACTAAAATTTGACCGACCTAGTCATAGGTTCAATTCTGATCACAACAAGGCTTCTGTAAGAAGCCTGGTCATACAATTAAAAAATGTTATAAGTTGCATGGCTTTCCCCAGAACTTCAAATTCACAAAGGGTAAGAAGTTTGGTACTGTTGCTAATGTTGAAGGGCAGTCTTCTAGGTTTCCTGATCATACTCATTCATATGCTGAGGATTCACTGGTACCTGGTTTAACTCGAGATCAGTATACTCAATTGATGAGTCTTCTTCAATGATCTGGTCTCAATGAATCATCGTCTCAATTTGCCATTATGGGTTCTGCAAATTTTGCTGGTAGTTCTTCTTCCTTGCCTGTGTGTTTGAATGGTAATTCTAATATGTGCATGTTGACTAGTGTAGCTAGAAGGATATGAATAGTGGACTCTGGAGCCACTGACCATATGGCTTCAAATAAAACTCTTCTTTTCAACATTACTCCTTTACATATTCCTTATATAGTCTCATTGCCTAATGGTTACAAAGTAAAAGTTACTTGTATTGGATCTCTTACTCTGTTGTCTTCCGTCACTCTTCATCATGTTTTATACATACCTACCTTTTACCATAATTTGATTTCAGTGAGTAAACTCATTGCTGAATTCAAATGCTATATTTTGTTCACATCTTATTTATGTATACTTCTATAGGCCCATTCTATGAAGTAGCTTCTGGAGCTTGGTAGAATGGACCACGTACTTTAAAAATTCTACTTCAACTAATCTACTTCTGCTGCATAATCCATCTCTGATAATTTTGACAACATTAAACAATATATTCCTGTTTCTATTGCTTCTGATTCACTTGTTTCTAGTTTTAATTCCATAGTAAAAGTAAATGTTTTTTCATTGAATGCAAATGTAGATGTTCTGGATTCTCTTCATAATCCTGTTTCATTACTAACTTGTAATAGTTATCAACATATAAATAAAAATGATGTTCTTTGGCATCATAGATTGGGTCATGTTCTCTTTGCACAAATGAGAAATATACCTTCTATATCTTCTAGTTTGTTAGCAAAATAGTCTTTCATTTGTCATGTTTCTCTTTTAGCAAGACAACCTAGATTGTCCTTTCCAAATAGCACTTCTCACTCTACTGCTATGTTTCAACTAATACATGTGGATACATGGGGACCTTACCACAATCAATCCTATTCCGAGACAAGATTTTTTTGACTATAGTTGATGATTACAGCAGGGCAACCTAAACACACCTGCTGCACTCCAAAAGCTATGCCTTTACCTTGATTAAGGCATTTATAGCAATGGTCAAAACCCAATTCCAACTTCCCATAAAAGTGACAATGCCTTAGAACTTAGGTCTTTTAATTCAACCCTTCAATTCTTTTCTAAAACTGGAATAATCCATCAAATCACCTGTCCCCACACCCCACAACAGAATGGGGTGGTGAAGAGAAAGCACAAGCATCTCCTTGAAATTTCAAGAGCCTTATTACTTCAATCTAAACTCCCCACCAAGTTTTGGGGTGACTGTGTCTCAACAACAACCTACCTTATAAATAGGTTTCCCTCCTCAGTTTTGTCCAACAAGACACCATTTGGAGTTCTATATGGCAGTCCACCTTCATACTCTCACTTGAAACCTTTTGGTTGTTTATGCTATGCCAATGTGCCCAAATGCCCTAGAGACAAATTTCAACCAAGAGCTTCCCCTTGTGTGTTTCATTGGGTACCCCTATGCTAAAAAGGATAACAAGTTATACAACTTGCATACTAAGCCAATCTTATTCTCTAGAGATGTCATTTTCCATGAATCTGTGTTTCCTTATCAATTGGTGTCCTCTACTACTTCTTCCTCTAATCCACCTCTTTCTGTTCTCATATTCTCTTCTGATGTTCCATCTGATTTGTCCATTTCTCCTCCTCCTGCCTCATCTCCTTCTAATGTCATTATTCCAGGTGTTTTACATGTACCTGCTCATTCTACAATTGATCCTGTTCAGCCAGCTTTCTCACCACCTATTTCTGACCCTGCTCAATCAGCACCTCTAACTCAATCTACTCCTGCACTTAGAAAGAGTTCTAGAACCCACCAAATACCATCTCACTTGAGCGACTTTGTTGTACAACTTCCTTCTTCTCTTCCTTCTTCCACTCATTCCTCCTTTCTGCTGCACAACAGATGGACTGCAGATAATTTAGTTAGTTCGTTTACCTAGTTGGGCCACAAGCCCATTCATTTAATTGATCCGTTATTTTTTTATTATTTGTAAACAAGAGGCCCAACATATAAAGAGGCCTCCGGGAAGATTCTAAAACACGTTAGACAAAAATTCAATATATAGATTTCTTTTACTTGTTCTTCTTCTCCATTCTCTCTATAAAACCCTAACCATGGCTTCATCGAATCCGGTTAATCTCTGGGTTTAACAAAATTTAGAAGTTAAACTTATAAATTTCTCGCAAATATTAGGTGGTTACATCATGCACAACAAATTTGTGAGACGAGATTCTTCAAATATTATATTTCAACTCAACTACACTCTATAAAAAAAAATTTTGCCTTACTTTGTTTGAATAAGGAAACCCGTTATCTTATTCTAATACCTTTTTAGATAATCTGATTCGCAAACACTCATATATTTGTAATCTCATTTTAAAATGGTAAGATGATAATAAACTTTTAGTGCGAAAGACACCGCAAATTCTATATTTTAATAATCGAATAACAATTAAATTATGTTTCACACCCCAAAAGGATTGGTAAAAATTATGATTTAAAGGGTAAGAAAAGATTCTATTCAATTTCAGTGTACAGAATTTTGGAAAAGGATCACTTATTTTTTACTATAAATTGTATGATCACTTTCATTCCAATCAAGTGGTTTGGAAAAATCAACTGCATTTGCCAAAGAGTAAAAACTTTGGGCTTTATTTCTTCCTAACTGATGAAATAAGAAATGGGGGTAAAAATATGAATTGAAAAAGTTCAAACAAACAGAAAAAGAAAAATGTAAGACAATTGTCTAAAATATTGACAATCAGTGGACTAAAACTCAAAAGTTTCTAATCATTATTTGAGACACAAATATAAAAAATATTTTTTACCTAAAAGTGAAAACTTTTAGATTCAAATCCTAATTAGTTGGACCTCAAGGCGAATACTATAGAGCTGTGCATAATTTGTTAAATACCGAATTATTGTACCAAAATTGAAAATTTTGGTGTTTAGTATTCGATATGGTATTCGGTTAAAGTTTTTAAAAAGATTAGTATTTGGTATGGTATTTGATATTCTAAAATAAAATATCGAAATACCGGTACTGTACCGAAATATATATTATATTACACAGTACACATATTATTAATTATAATATAAATAAAGAAAATCTACATTTTTACTTTCTTTAATTTTCTAAGTTAACTCTAAGCAAGTAACAAGACATTTTTAATTATCAAATATATTTCTTTATGTACAGTTTTTTCTCCCTGAGTTGATATTTGTTAATTTTGGACAAAACTTTTATCTTCAAATATTTTTAGTTTTATATTTTTAAGCACTTTAATTAAGAATATTAATTACCGTACCGTACCGATCAACCGACGAACACCCCAGCAATACTAGACACACACAAAAAAGAAAAAAACACATTGACAATCACTAGGATAAGAAAACGAAGGTACTAATGTTGAGGTAAAATTACCAAAAAAGAAAATGTTTTTAATTAAGAAAGCAACATATTTAAATTCAAAAACTACAATTTATATAAAAGAAAGTAAAAAGTCATCATCTTCCATTGTCTCCTCTCCTCTTCTACATTTTCTCTCACACACGAGAGAGAGAGGATAGCCAAAGAGCTCTCTCCCTCTCTCTCTCTCTCTCTCTCTCTCTCACAATATTATACAAAATATATACAAATAAATTTTTATTATATATACTATATATATATATAGAGAGAGATAGACAGTGTTAGCCATTTCAGATTGTAAATCAATCTTTCTTACACCACACTCTCTTTTTTCTCTTACCTTTTTCTCTCCTTCATCTCTCTCTCTCTCTCTCTCTCCCATTTTGATAATAAGAACTCCATTTTTATTGTGTTTTGCCAATTTTTGGTGAATTTAGAACGTTTAGAGAGGAAAAAGAGAGGGCCTTTTAGCCCCCTCTTTCTATATATGCCTCTCTAACCGATCTTCAGTATTACCCATTTATCTTCTTGGCCTTAACATATTGGTAAAAATTTAATGTTTGATCTGTTTATTCATGTTTGATATTTAAAGTTTTAATCTTTTTGCCTTTTTTTTGACAATTCTGGTTTGTGGGTCTGTTGATTTTTCATGTTTTATGTTTAAAAGTTTTGATCTTTTAGCTTTGTGGATAATTCTGGCTCGTGGGTGTGTTGATTTTCGATCTGTTTAAGATCAGATGATCTCTTGTTGAATAGCTGATTATTATGATTATTGGAATCTATTGTTTAGTTACAATTCTTATATTTTTCTTTTTACTTAATCTGCATTTTGATGTTTCATATTGAATTCTTGATTGATAAGTTTGTTTGAATAGTATAAGCTGAAGTTTATGCTTATACTGTTTTGAATTATCCAATTTTATGAGTTTGTTGAGATCCTTTGTTATGCTTTTTTACTTTGTGTTGTGAGTGATCTGAATTTTAACACTTAAGAACTCTGATCTATTCATGATTATGTTTTGTTTCATTTTTGATGATTATGATTATGATTGGTAATTTTGATGTGTAGAATGGAAATGGAGCCGGGAAAATTGTTTGTTGGGGGAATTTCTTGGGACACGAATGAAGATCGTCTCAAAGAATATTTCCAAGTTTTTGGGGATGTGGTTGAAGCTGTGATCATGAAAGATCGGATCACTGGCCGTGCTCGCGGTTTTGGTTTTGTTGTTTTTGCAGACCCTTCTGTTGCCGAAAGAGTTGTCAAGGAAAAACATATAATTGATGGTAGAACTGTAAGTAACATGTTGCGCGGTATCTGGATCATTTTCTGTGCTCTGTTCATTTGGACTTACTATTAAGGAAACATAATGGTTCAAATTTTGATTAGCTAAACAATCCATGTGATCCAACAATGAAGCCTTTCAGATGGCTTTTCCGGAAAACAATGGTTATGCTACTGGAATTTAGTCTAAAAGTTCCAATTTTTCTTGTGATATTTATAGATGATGACGATTACAAAAATTTAATGACAGATCCTAGTTTACATTGGGAATGATCTGTTGGAAGATGTAGAAAAGTTTTGCGTGTAGGGTGTATCTAGATTCTAGTATACTATCAATGAACAAATCGATGATTCAATAATCAATCTTATAAAAGTTTAGTATTTCTACACTTAGTGTAATAGAGGCTATATGTTGTAATTGAAGGTAATAGCAAGTGCGTAGTTGTAGCAAAATCGAACCAGATATGAGCTCAGTTGGGTTGCTTTAAATGAGATGTACAGAATTGACAGTCAAACTCTTATATGTTAAATGAAAAGAAATACAACAACACCAACAAGAACTATGCCTTAGTCCCGAACAAGTTGGGGTTGACGATATGAATCCTTATTTCTTTCTGTAAGCTCAAATCATATCATCATCATCATTTCATCATCGGAATAGTACTTGAAGATGTGGACAAGAAGTATGCCTAATGAAAGCAAGTGGATTTAGTTCGCAGAATTTACGCTATGTCAATTTTATATTTCTTCTGGAATTTCTTAATCACCAGTAAACTTGTATTTGTAGCAAGTTAGTGAAACCCTGATTGATTAATGATCGCATATCTGATACAAGAATGAGTTTTCCGCTTAGGGATTTCGATAACTCGTTAAATGTTACTGGAAAAAAATGTATGTGTGTTTACTATTTTCCTTACATCTCCAGGTAGAGGCAAAGAAGGCTGTTCCAAGAGATGATCAACACATTACTAGAAACAATGGAAGCATGCAGGGCTCTCCAGGTCCTGTGCGCACTAAAAAGATTTTTGTTGGAGGCTTGGCATCCTCAGTCACCGAGAGTGACTTCAAGAATTACTTTGATCAATTTGGGGCGATCACAGATGTTGTGGTGATGTATGATCACAACACACAAAGGCCTAGAGGATTTGGATTCATCACCTATGACTCAGAGGAGGCGGTTGATAAAGTTCTATACAAAACATTCCATGAACTTAACGGTAAAATGGTCGAGGTTAAGCGTGCAGTTCCCAAAGAGCTATCACCTGGTCCAACCCGAAGCCAATTTGGTGGACAGAACTATGGTTTGAACCGGGTTAACAATTTGCTTAATGCGTATACTCAAGGTTACGTTCCAGGCTCGATTGGAAGTTATGGAGTGAGAATGGAAGGTAGATACAGTCCACTTACTGCTGGTCGGAATGGATATTCTTCTTTTAATCCTGCTGAGTTTAATATGCCAACTGGCATAGACTCTGCATTGAACCCAAACTATGGTGGAAGTGGAACTTTTGGTTCTAATTATGGACGTGGATTCAGTTCTTTTTACAATGGGAATTCAAACAGGTACGGTGGTCCTGTCGGGTTTTCCCCCGGAAGGGTTGGAAGTGGTTCAATGTTGAATTCAGTAGGATGGAACCTGTGGGACAATGAGAGTCTTAATTATGGAACAAATTCCGCCAACTCTACTGATTTTGTTGGTTCTGGAAGCGGGGTTGCAGGATATGGTACTCTTGGAGGTCTCGGAACAATTTGGGGTGCCTCTTCAATTTCGGGTCAAGGTGGTGGAAATGGTTCTTTTGGCAGTGGCAACATCACTAACAGTGGTGAAACAGGTGGGGCAGTGTATGGACGAAACTCGGGCGGCAATGCTGTCAATACATCACCATATGCTCCAGCAAAAGACGTTCACACTGGGGCTTTTGGGAACTTGTATGGTACTGTAGGTGCTTCACTTTATGAGGACTCGGCCTGGCGTTCAGCATCTCCAGAACTAGATGGCTCTGCTTCCTTTGGTTATGGACTTGGGAATTCAGACTCACTCGGTCTTGTTGGTGGTTATAGTGTTGCAAATAGATCAAATAAAGGTAATGAAACTCCTTTTGTTGTCAACCTTAGTTATTTGTTGTGATGTCTTTTGATGCATTAAGCAGGGGTGGAGCCAGAGTGTGGGATGCGCGTTCGGCCGTAACCAGTAGCTTTTATTCAAAACCCTATATTTGTCTTGAGAAATCCATTGAATAAGTACAAATTGCTAATTTAGAACCAATAAATTAAAAGGATTATAATCCCGAACTCATAAGGATCAAATCCTGGCTCCGCCTCTGGCACTAAGCTGGTGTGTCGTGAAACTTGTTGGCACATCATTGCTCCTATTGCTTTCTGTCTGCTTAAGTTATCATTTCCCCCTTCCGTTTCACTTCACCTTTACACCTATGTCTGGAAAAGGAAAGAGCGGGGGTTGTGAGTAAGAATTTAAGAAGCGCCTGAAAAACCAAAAAAAATATCTTCTTACCATTCATGCGCTCAAGTTGTAAATGGTAATCCTAATCTTTGCTGCAATCTGGTAGATCGCGTAAATGACATACCACGACTCCACGAGCTAAGCTAGAACAAGTAAAGCATACACAATGATGATTTCGTTTCTTGCATGCTTGTATGACTGCATTAGACTGATTTGTTTCATTTGCGTCACAGTTACTTATATATATACTCTTTGATTTGTGATACAGGAATTGCTGCCTAGGAAGATTACTGTGTGGAAGTTAAAGGACATAAAATGCTTAATATAGATGGAAAGTACAGCTTGAGTCAAAGTCGTGGATGCGGATTACTTGTATTCTCTGTGAAGAAATACTTCAGGCTAGAGGCGCATTCACTTAGAGCTAATTCGATACCTGCTATAGAACTTCTCCCAATCAACGTTTACAAAGCGAAGGGACGTCAATGTAAGGTTTGAACGTAGATTTTCTAGTATAGATTTTTCATTTTCTTCGGTTTTTTTCTTGTCCCTGCATATGGTTGAGATGTAAAATTGGATAGCGGAATATACTTAAAGATAATTGTATCAATGCATATCTGATCTGATGAAACAATGAGACGTAAAATGCAGATTGTTCTTTCCTCATTAGATTCTTTTCTTCTTTATTTTTATTTTCATACTGTAATATGCTTCAGCAAACTTTGCTGGCTGTTGTCGAACTTTGTTATCTTATCCCATTCTGGAATCTGCCATTTTCAATTTCTATAAAATTTTCAGCTTATTTAGTGTAGTAAACTTGTAAAAATTGCTTTGCTATGCTCCTGAATTCTACATAATGAATATACAGTCAAAACCTCTCTATAACAACTTCGTTTGTTCCGAATATTTTTGGTTGTTATAGCCAGGGGCAGAGCGAGCCTCCTAGGTGTGGGTTCGGCCGAACTCAGTCACTTTTGCTTAAACAGTGTATTTTTTTTTAAGATATCCATTAAATATGTATAAATATTCAATTGCGAACCTAATAACAAAGACGAGCTATAGGTTCCATGGCAAATTCAGAACCCATAAACTTCAAATTTTGGCTTCGCCTGTGGTTATAGTGAAGTGTTGTTATAGAGAATATATATAACATAACATGAAAATTGGTTCCGAAAAAGCTTGAGTTTTATAGAGAAATGTTGTTATATAGGGATGTTGTTATAGAGAGGTCTGACTGTAATGGTTTGTTACGCATTAAACTTTGCATAAGTTATATGGAAATTTTATGTATTACTTTATAGGGATAGAATGTGGAATACAAATACAAATACATGTATTTGTAACATGTGTTGTATGTTTATTCACCGTATACCACTTCGTATTTTATGTATAATAATACTAAATTATTATTATTCAATGTATGACAATCTTGCATTATAATCCTTATATAACTAACGACTTCAAGTTTCATAATAGTTTAGCAAAGAGTATCCTCAAATTTCATAATTTTTGACTGTCAAAATAAATTTAAATAAATTAATATGGCATTGATTAGAAAGAGATAAGCCTGGGTGATAGAGCTATCCGAATTTATATTGGTGGACGGTAGTAAGTATCTGGTGAAAGAGTCAAGGTGCGAGCAAACTAAGTATACAGAGGTGCCAGCATAATATACCGGAGTTCCAATATAATATACCGGTCTAGCATAATATACTGGAAGTTCGTACACAGGTGCTCCAATCTCTAATATATTATGCAGGAACTTTCCAATCTCCAATATATTATGCAGGAACTTTCCGGGTGTTGAAGTTCCAGTATAATATGCTGGAAATTCATACACAGACGCACCAATCTCTAGTATATTATGCTGAAACTTTCCGTGGTGCAGCAAAATAATAGCTATTTTTCAATAACTTTACAAATGCTGGCTATTTTTCAATTACCAATGCAAAAATTAGCTAGCCCGTGCTATTTTCACTTGGTAACGAGGACTAAAAATTTGAGTTAGTCGAGTCAATATGTATCGACCTTTTATTTTTCAAATTTCAACCAATCGAGTTAATATATTTCGGATACCGGATGATTAAATAAAAAAAATAATGTCACACCCCATGAAAATATGTGGATAAAGGGTGGGGCAGAAGAAATATGAAATTTGGTCAGCGGTCCATGGCTGACTGGACCACCACCAAATTATAGGCAAATAGACAGTACATAATGGACAACTTGTGATTGTGTATTTGCCATGTTTTTTCTTTCCTTTTTATGCTTTTTTTTTTGTCAATTTTGTAATATTAAAGTTTAAAAATTCCCCAAATGAGTGGCCATATATATATATATATATATTCTTATCCTTATTCCGTGGCTCGATTTATACCTTAGTTTTTTTTTTCTTTATTTCTTTTCCTTTTTCAATTATTTTATTTGTAGTCAAATAAAAAAGTGCATAAAAGTAATTTTTTTTAATATGTTTAAATCATGAAAGGATATATTGAAATTTAGTCAAGAAAATTTTGATTTTATTTCAGAGAAGTGATGAGATTTAGTTTATGAGGATCAAAATGACTAACTTTTACATTTATGTTGGAGAACAATTCATCTATTATTGAGAATATAATCAGAAGTTATGAAAAGAATTATGAACTCTTAGTGACTATGTATCTCCATTTAAATTCGTTTCGAGCCAATATTACGATAAAGAGCAGCCGCGTTCATGCAGAATTCGGGGAAGGCAACACCAAAATGGTGTGATATGAACAGTTTACTCTAAAACAAGTGTTAGTGATTACTTCTATGGCTCGAACCCCTGATATACATATATCGCACGGAGGCAACTTTATTGTTGCTCCAGAACTCCCTTTCTCTCAATTTTGCCATTACACCATAGTCAGGAATCCTCACTGATTATGTATCTCCATTAAAATTCATCTTGAGCCAATATTACGATAAATAGCAGCTCAGTGCATAAGATATTTCGCGTTCACGCAGAGTCCAAAGAAAGGACGCACTCCAAAGGTGTGTTGTAGACAGTCTACCCTTATGCAAGCGTTGCTTCTACATGTCACACAGAGACAACTTTACCGTTGCTCCAAGACTCCCTTTCTCTCGAGCCGACATTACACCAAATAAAAACTTTCTAAGCAATTGTTATATATTTTAAATATTGTTTCTAATAAACAAGTCAATATTTTTATCTCTCAAATAATATAACATGCTAACATTTTGCTTAGGAAAAAAAAAAGAAAATGGATGAATATTATAGGGCATTAAATATAATTCATTCTAAGGACCTAAAATCATAATGAATGATGTCAAATTAAAGAATATTATAGGACCATAAGGTGGGGTTGCCAAAATCAAATCAATTGACAATTGACAATTGACAGGGAAATTGATGAATGCTTGACATATATTGCTTCATTTGGCACTTCCTTTGCTATGAAATTAATAATACATAATTCTTTAGATATAACAAGACATTAAAATTCAGGAGAAATTATATATTCCAAAATTTTCTTTAAAACATGATTAAAGTTGCAATCAATGGTTGTAAATTTAGCCTAAACTGAGGTTAAATTATAAGGAATTTTTACACCATCGGATCACCTTTATTTATTATAGTAGGTAATCAGTCTGATTTTCAACCATATAAGGGAGCTTAGTGTAAATATCCTATAATTGACCTGCTAGTATAAATAATTACTTACGCTAACGGTGTATATAAGTTAAACTCTTACGGGGTTGTTTGGTTTGAATACGGCTTTTTTGGGATAAGTTATACTTGGATTAGTTATACTGATATTGTTTTTTATCCACTGTTTGGTATGTCGTATTAAAAATTACAATTGCATAATTTCTAAGAAGAAGATATAAGTTATCCCGGCACTAATTACCCACCCTTTAGGAGTCGTTTGGTACGAGGTATAAGAAGGTATAGTGCTGGTATAAAAATTTAATATCACCTTAATACTTTGTTTGGTTAGCAAACCATGTATAAGTTATCCCAGGACTAAAATTAACACCGGGATAACTTATACCTTATAGAGGGTAGGGTAATTAGCACCGGTATAACGTATACATTCTTCTTACAAATTATGCAATGATCATATTTAATACAACATACCAAACAATGGATAAAAAATAATCTCAGCATAACTCATACAAGCATATCTTATCCTGGCATAAGCCGTATCAAACCAAACGACCCCTAAAAGGTATAAGTTATCCCGATACTAATTTTAGTCCCGGGATAACTTACACAAGATTTGCTAACCAAACAAAGTATTAAGGTGATATTAAATTTTTATACCAGCACTATACCTTCTTATACCTCATACCAGACGACCCCGTACATTCTCTCATTACATAAGTTTGGCACATCTAATTAGAAATAGGCATACATTTGAAAGCACATACAGAAGAGAAGAAGCTGTACCAGTGCATTATACAAAAGAAGTGACAGATCAAAAAAAGGTTCTTTCTCCCCTTTGAATAATTTACATTTTTCTAATGGAATTTTGTTTTCCCACAGCAACAAAATGAGACCTACTTCTTTGTTTTCCTCCATAATCTTTCAAAAGCAACAATAGAAATTGAATTACAACAGGGTAGAAGAGATGTTGACAAGAAACATCATCCCAAATTATGATGAACAACACCAGCCTTTCGTCGCCTGTCCATTTGCTTCTTGGTTTTCATCAGCCTGCAAAACCACAGTTTTTCCATTTGCCAATCGCCCAGAATCCTTTTTTTGGAGTTCTTGCGATTGAATGACCTTCCGGCTCAAAATATTATAGATCTCTTTAACAACTGTTTGAAAAGCTACGGCTACATTCGAGGAATCCAAAGCTGATGTTTCTATAAAGAATAAACCTTGTGCCTCCGCTAAGGATTTGCCTTCTGCTGTTGTAACCTCCCGTGCATCTTTGAGATCGGACTTATTGCCAACGAGTATTGTAACCACGTTCATGTCAGAATGAGCTGTCCATACAAGTCAAGATCTTTGCTAGTCAATCAAGGTAGGAGCTAAGCACTAGAATAGAAAATGCACAACATATCAACATGGAAATTAGGATGAATAATCTATTAAGGTAAATAAAACAGCCTCTCTACTCCTCCAGAGTATGGGTAAAGCTGCCTCTCTTTTGAAGGGACAAGTACAACAAAAAGACTAGAGTAAACACTTGGAAATATAATCTTAACCATTTTAAGATTAATCATTCATGAGCAAAACACAACATGAGCTAGCGACAGATATTCCATTTATCGAGCTGTAATGCAACATTAGTAACTTGTACTCTTTATCAAATCTTAACTGCAGAGTGCGCAAGTCAAATAATTTATAAACCAAAAGGAGCAAATAAAATTGACATATAACTTACTCTGAAGTTCATTAAGCCATCGACTGATATTATCAAAAGTTTGGCGTCTACTAATATCATAAACCAGAAGAGCTCCAACTGCGCCTCTGTAATATGCAGAAGTTACTGCTCTAAACCGTTCTTGACCTGCTGTATCCCATATCTGTGCTTTGACCTCCTTGCCATTTATGTCCAGCTTTTGGGTCTGGAACTCTACTCCTATTGTCGATTTTGAGTTTGGATAAAATTCATCTCGAGCAAATCTAGCAAGCAAATTTGACTTCCCAACAGCCGAATCACCAATCAAAACAATCTTGAAAAGGTAATCCTCCGTTTGTGCTTCCTCGGAATGAAACGCCATCTTCTTTGAGTAAAATGGCAGCTAGAACACCATAGTTACTTATAAACACCAAAAGTAATAAATTTAAAAGCACAAACAGGCAGAAGGCCGTCAGGAAAACTTGTAAGGGAATGCAGGAATATGTAAGACGAGACTTCAGCTTAGGAACGGGTTAAAGAGAAGAAAGGTATCTCAATATAGTAGTTGTATATGAAGGTGAAGATTAACAAGGTAATTTAAAATAAGAACTTTCTATTAACCCTGTACTACAACTTCTTCCAGCCACTTCACTGCTGGATAACTCTTTCCTATTTTATTCAGTCCTCCTAAAAGAGACAGCTTTTAGATACCTGCATAAAAAGAAAAAGACAGAAACTTAAAACTTCAGCAAAGAATCCAGTCTAAACTTTGCTTTCCCATAAAAACAATGTGGCATTCTTCTAGAAGATTCTTCAATAGGATACAGTCTAACTACAATAGGTAATGGAAGAAAATTATACATGACCAATCAGCTGTTGCTCGTCTGATGCCCCATCCTTGCCACCTCCGACTTCCCCTGCTTCTTGTTGCAGACGTTTTAAGCGTAAACCTAGAAGAAAAACGAAATGACGTACTGGTAGAAGACTTAATCTAAAATTGAGCTTGCAGAACATTCACTTCCGGTTGGTGACAAGTGACATGATATAAGAAAGCCAAAATTGCTATCTCCACAAAATTCAACTAATTCAATTTAAGTGACCAAGTCACACCAATGTTACACCACAAAATATTACTCCCTAGTAATGCAAAAGGTCAACTAATCATAACACTGCTGCATTAGTTTTTTCTTCTTTTCTCCTTTTTAGCTTCTTCGGGATAAGGGGGTGAGCGAGGAGGGAAAAGGGTGGGATGAGAGAGAGAGAGAGAGAGAGCAAATAATTCCCAGGGAAGTCATATGTGTAGATTGCAAATAATGACCATAGGACTAGTGATGCTCAAAAAGTTTGCTAACACATAGGACCAAATGACACCAGAAAAGCATCTGGAATGCCCAAAAGTTCAAGGGAACAAAATACTCAAATCTCACTGCATATTTTTAAAATTGATATGTTCCTAAAAATTGACCAGTGGAAATATCCACCAGTACAGATTTAAGCCCAACAAAGTATTTAGTGATGACAGGTGTACCTTCTAAAAACGGCTTAACCTCATGTACACGCTTCTCTCGCTAGTTCTGCAAGATGTCTAACATGAGATATAATTAAAAAACATTAAAGCACAGTATCACATTCTGTTATTATTTTTTGACAAGTATTGTACAGTAATATTGTAGTTTGTTTTTTAATCCTCACACCGGAAAAGATTTGAGTTTAAGTTCCAATTTTTCAATGGAAAAAGTTGACCATCTTTGGTCATGCATAAAACTGCCTAAAGGGCAACCTGGTGCACTAAGCTCCCACTATGCGCGGGGTCCGGGGAAGGGTCGGACCACAAGGGTCTATCGTACGCAGCCTTACCCTGCATGCATAAAACTGCCTGCTAATGGAAAAACTGAAGCTTTTACTTTTGCAAAACATCCTCAAATACATTTTCAAAAAAGCAGCATGAAAACGAGAAAAACAACCACTTGTGGGCCACTTCTCATCTTCCCCCTTAGGCAAAAGCCGAAAAGACAATTAGGAGTTTTATCTCCCAGAAGAAAGTGCCTTGGTATTAAAACCTAGTATCTAAATGTTGATTGCCCTTATTTAAATTTTATGATAGATAAAGCTCAATCAAATCAATAAAATATGCAAATACAACCTTCAGTAGGTAGTACTAGTCCACAATATGGCTAGCAGATAGTATCAAAATGTTTATGCATCCTTATTTACTTCACTTAATAACTAAGTTGCTCCGACATGGCAGTTTAGGTGCCGCACCCGTGTCAACACAACACTAGTATGGGTGTGGGTATGAGATCGTACCGGATATGGCCAAACAACTTTGGGTACTTTAACTACAACGGACGGAAAAATTCGAAACGAGATACAATTTGATTCCTGAAATCAGAACCAAAACTAGGGTAAATTTGAAGAAAATAACGTACTTTATCTAGCAAGTCAATCCTTTACTTATCTACAACTTGAGAAGAAAAAATAAATCCACACTTTATAAACTATACATAAGTATTCCATAAAATTTCTCATAATTTAGAGATTTTTATTTTTTTTATTTTTTAAAATTATTTTTAGCCGGATCTCCGCACCCGTATCCTTACTAGGATCCATATCCCCAAATCTTAGAATTTACATCTCGAAGGATCCAACTTCTAGATCCACACCCGTGTCGGACACCCCCAACCCTGTCCGAGCAACTTAGCTTAATAAAGGTAATAGATTTGAGGGACATGCTGGTGACCTGATACTCAAAAGGCAAAAATAAATTTAATGGAGAGAAGAAAATTCCAAACACAGTGTTCAATTAGAGACACTAAATTCAATCAAGTTAAATGCTTGTATCACAGTCAACTACATGAGATGGTCACAAAGACCTCTTTTTTATCCAGGCCAGCTTCCCCAACACTCTGACTAATCCACTAGTACCGAGTAATTATGTCCACCAAAGCTTCGACTAGCATCTAGTATCTTTGCCGGGATTTGAACCTAGATCACCTATGGTCTATTCTAACTTCATTAACCGCTAGACTATACCATGAGGTGCTAGTCAAAAAGATCAAATATTAACATGTAATATGATTTCCTATATGGGACCCACAAAGTAAATCAGTTCAATAATAGGTGCACTTGCATAGACATTCACACCAAAGTTAATGAGGTCAGCTAAACAAAGACTTTGAACAAGAAGACATTTAAAAAGTCACCATATCCCTCCCTCCGGTCCAAAATAAGTGATTTTTAATTAGTAATGAAATTGACCATATTAACCTTTACTATCTCTTCACATAAACACTCCTAACACATACTCCAACACTACTTACTCTAACGCCAATGAAGGAAAAAATATTCATTCTTGAAATATGGAAAAATCACTTATTTTGGACAACAAAAAAAAAAGGCCAAAAAATCACTTATTTTGGACCGGCGGGAGTAGTAAACATATCCTAACTGATCCAACTGAACATTATTTGTTGTCTCATCAATGCCATTGTAAAGACTCAACATTTTACATGACACCACAGGAAATATCAAAAGTAAACAGGAATTCTGACATACCAAAAACAGTATTTAGTACTAACATTATTTAAGTGAAACAAATATATGCACCATGACATTATGGTTTGGCATTTTACCCATTAAAGATAGAAAAAGACACATGCTACACTAAGAGCTCGTTTGGACATAAAACTTTTTTTCCTTTTTCCCAAAAAAATTTTACTTTTTCAAAATGAGCGGTTGTTTATACAATTTCAATTTTCAATTGAACATGCATTTTGGAAATTTTCAAAAATTTGAAAAACCGCAAGAAGCTGTTTTTCAAACTTTTCACTAAATCACTCACAAAACTTCAAAAACAACCCAAACTGAAATTCATGTCCAAACACAACTCTAAATTTCAAATACTATTTTCACTGGAAAAATTTTTTCACCATTTTTTCGAATTTTATAATTCTTATCTCCAAAGCCTACTAAAACTTTTAACTCTTTTTTTTTAATAACTGTGGTGTTCGACCAGCTTGCGTGCACCTCGATTCAAAGTGCAATTAACTACCCCATTCTCAAGAATACTCCTAAATCAACCCCTTATTTTTATTTCTATGCAACACAAATCTACCAAGAGAAAGAAGTTTCAATATTTTCATCAAGAAAATACTAGAGATATTATAACAAACTTACAAATGACAAAACTTTAAAGTAAACCAGCATCAGGAAACAACTAAAAAATGTAGCATTGATAAAAAAAGAAAAAATTTTGAGACATACCCACTTCTTTATATGATGAAAGGATCTTTCCCTTTTAACAATCTCTCAAGATGTGATCAAATCAGAACCGTTAGATCAATGGAACAAAACGGGTATAAAATAGTAAATTTGGATGAAATGTAGTGAAGAAACACAGGGATCAAAATATTGAATGAAAATGTTAATGAGATTTGGAGAGATTGGAGGGTGGGTTTGAAGATCCAGAAAAGCTAGAAGTGGGGAAGAGAGAAGAAGAAGAAGAAGCAGAGAGAGAGAGAGAAGGGAGCAAAGGGAAAGAAAGCCAGATTTTACAACTATTGCAATTGGAGTAGATTGTCACATTAAATGGGCTTTAAAATCTGGATCTTCTTCTAATGGATCGCAGTTCTTTTTTGGCCCAATTTAAATAGAAGAATTAGCAGCCCATATTAACGAGAAGAATTAACCCAAATAGCCGTTCACCCTACAACTTAAAATTAAAAATAGGCAATGAATGTATATTATATACATAATTTATGCCTAGAAAAAGCAAACAATTAATATGGCCGGTTATTTGTATAAAAATCCACATTTTTTTAAGTTAGGCGCACATTTTTTAAAAAGCATATGAATAACTTTATGAGAAAACTATCCTCTATAGCCCCTCAAAATTTTAATTAGACCATATGTTTTTTCACTCACACGAAATGGCTTTTCGGCCCAAATATATTACATATAATAGTCCGAAATATCTATTTTGTATTTTTTTTTGTATAGTGATAGTCTCTTTTGTATATTTTTTGTATGGTGACAGTCTATTTTGTACAGTGACAGTCTATTTTGTACAATGACAGTCTATTTAGTATTCCCTCTGTTCTAATTTATGTGAACCTATTTCCTTTTTGGTCATTTCCAAAAAGAATGACCCTTTTCAAAATTTGGAAACAATTTAGCTTAAACTTACAATTCTAACCTTAAGGAGAAGCTTTTACAACCACACAAATACTCTGGCCCCTTTTTGACTTGTTTAGAACCACAAATTTCAAAAGTCTTCATTTTCTTCTTAAACTTTATGCCCAGTCAGACATGTTCACATAAATTGAAATGGAGGGAGTATATATTTTGTATAGTGACAGTCGATTTTGTATATTTTATATAATGACAGTCTAGTATATATAAACTGTATAGTGGCAGTCTATTTAGTATATTTTTGTATAGTGACAGTCTATTTTGTATATATTTTGTATAGTGGCAGTCTATTGTATATAAATTCTATAGTGACAGTCTATTTTAGTATATTTTTTGTCTAGTGACAGTCTATTTAGTATATACATTGCATAAAATTTGTATATAGAGTGTATCGTGCATCATGCAATGTATCCATAATATATCATTAATGTATTCCGAACCTTTTGTGTATCCCTTTTTGCATAGTGCAATTTTACTGACTTAATCTTAATCTCGAAAGGAGTATTGAGGGATGAAAAAGCAACAAAATCTGTGATACCATTAGCATATGGATAGGACACTCCTCTAACCCATCACCCACGTCTTTTGAACAACGATAACGAAAAGGAAATGGAAGGGAAGAAACAACCCAACTATTGTAAATTTTGAAACGCTGTGTTTGGCAAGAGCAAAACCAACTTCTTCAAAGAAAATGAAGGTGGAAAACCCCCTCTTAGATAGGGGTAAGGTCTGTGTATACTCTACCCTCTCCAGACCCCACTGATAAGATTTTACTGAGTTGTTGTTGTTGTTGTAGTTGTTGTTGTTGTGTTTGGCAAGAGCAAAACCAACTTCTACAAAGAAAATGAAGATGGAAAACCGCCTCTTGGATAGGGGTAAGGTCTTCGTGTACTCTACCCTCTCCAGACCCCACTGGTGAGATTTTACTGAGTTGTTGTTGTTGTTGTGTTTCGCAAGAGCAAAACCAACTTCTGCAAAGAAAATGAAGATGGAAAACCCCCTCTTGGATAGGGGTAAGGTCTTCGTGTACTCTACCCTCTCCAGACCCCACTGGTGAGATTTTACTGAGTTGTTGTTGTTGTTGTGTTTCGCAAGAGCAAAACCAACTTCTGCAAAGAAAATGAAGATGGAAAACCCCCTCTTGGATAGGGGTAAGGTCTTCGTGTACTCTACCCTCTCCAGACCCACTGGTGAGATTTTACTGAGTTGTTATTGTTGTTGTTGTTGTAGTTGTTATTGTGTTTCGCAAGAGCAAAACCAACTTCTTCAAAGAAAATGAAGATGGAAAACCCCCTTTTGGATAGGGATAAGGTATGCATATACTCTACCCTCTCCAGACCCCACTGGTGGGATTTTACTGATTTGTTGTTGTTGTTATAGTTGTTGTTGTGTTTTGCAAGAGCAAAACCAACTTTTTCAAAGAAAATGAAGATGAAAAAGGGAAGTTTTCATAGTATTCTAACATGAAAAAATCTCAACTCTTTCCTTAGATATTCACAAATCAATCGCTAGTTTTAAATCTTCTATGCTCTTTCCCACAATTAATTACTCAATAGGCCAAAAATTAACACTAGAGCAAGAGGAAAACTTGAAGAAGCTAAAATCTGAGATTAAAAGAGATGAGAAGTTAAATTAATCAAATTAACACCAAAACGTTTCTTTGCTTGTTGAGGTGGAAGCTTCAGAATTGGAAACCATAATTGATGAGTTGAAACAGTTGATGATGGCGGTGATTGAAACGGCGGAGCATCTATGAGGATCGGCAGTATGTCTGTCTTTGCAGCCATGGCGTGGTCGCCTCTCTTCTCGCGATCTGCCTGTGCAGATCTGAGCTTCTTAGTTAAGTATTTTTGGACTAGCCTCTATAATTACTTTTGAGCTATAAAATGAATATTATAATTTCGGACTACCGGGTATTAAAAGTTTGGCCCGAATGACTATAAATGAATTTTGCTCCAATTTTATTTAGCCAAATCCTAAATTTTCCTTTTCTCTGCTTATGATAAACAAATTCCTAAATTATAGGGATGAACCTTTTTTAAATCACTTTTTATATTTTGATCCTATTATGAAATATTTTGAGAAAACAATCTCGCGCTAGATTTTAAAAGGAAGCTAGGTAATTTTGAAGCATGTCGGTAGAATTTTAAAGCACACAACAGTTATAGTGATCGTCAATATTTAGTATTTTTCGACAATACTTTTATGAGAAAAGTTGCTTTATCTATTCCCTCCATATATTATTAAATTGCAATAGCTCCAACAAAGATCGATACAAGAATTGATTATGTAATTTATTATGTCTTTCATTTTATTTTATGTGGCAGTATTTGATTAGGCGCAAAGTTAATTAAAAAATAATTTTTAAAATTTATGACTTTAACATGTTACGATATTTTTGGTGCTATAATAGCATAAAATTAATAGTGAAATACGAAGTTTTAAATTAAATTACTTTAAATAAAAAGTGATTTTTTTTATAAACTAGACTGATACAATGACAAAGAGTGGACAAAAAATGTTCATATATCTAATGTGTGGCTAAAGTTACTTTTGAAAACGTTAAAAATAAATAAATAAATAAATAAAAGACAAGTTAGCCTACTATAATCATATAGTAGAGATTAAAATTCATATAGATATGTAGGCGACTGGAAATATTTTTATAGGAAATATAAATATCTTAAAGTATGACTAATTGTTTTATTCCAACTTAAGTGTGATTTTATTCTAATCATCAAATGGAATAAAGCGAAAGCGTTTTGAGGACAGTTTAAGTCACTTGAGCTCATAAAATATTCTGCAATTTCTGGAAAAGAAAAGAAAAAAAAAAGCAAAAAACTCAGTGTAATCTCACATATTTTTACCTTTTTTACAACGCTCTATAGAAAAAATTACACCATTTGGTTTTATTTCTTTTTACATAAATTTGCTTTAAAATCTCACTTTACAAGAACAACAACAACAACAATAAATTCAGTGTAATCTCATATTAAAAACTGGAGAGGGTGGTGTGTATGCAGACCTAACTCCTACCTCGTAGAGATAGAAAAGTTATTTTCAATAGACCCTCGTCTTAACGAAACATAAGCAATAAAAAAACTAGCGAGGAGCCATGGAAAAGAAAAAATAGATAACAGAAGATAGTAAGATGACCAAAATGAAAGTAACATCGGGCAATAATAGAAACCTAAGACTAAAAAGACATATGAGAGTATGTAATAATGCTACTCGTAAGAACAAGAAACCACTTGGCCACCTAATTTTTTACCCTAATTCTCAGCTTCCATGTTTTTCTATCAATGGGTCATGTCCTCAGCTGGAGCATTACCATATCTTGCCTAATCACTTCACCTTAATACTTCTTCGGCGTACATCTACCTCTCCTTAAGCCCTCCATGGCCAACCTCTCACACCTGCTCGTTGATGCATCGAAATCTCTCCTCTTCACGTATCTAAACTATCTAAATTTAGCTTCCCGCATCTTGCCCTCCACGCATCCTCGAAATACCTCACTATATAAAACTATTTTTGTGGCAGTTAGTTTGTAAATGGCAGTACTGCAACTAGATCTGTTGCCACTGCTTTAAAGTTTGAATAAAATGGCACTCAGAAAGAAGCAGCAGGAAAACACACTTCCCCATTTAAGTTTCTTTGTAACTTTTTTCTCTCGATCAAAGGCGGATTTAAAATTTAAAGTTTATGGGTTTCTACTACAATTTTAAATTAATATAAAATACTAACTGGTTTCATGGTTAAATATTTATAAATATTTAGAGAATTTCTTAATAAAAATACGTTGTCTATACAAAAGTTAATTAAAATTTCACCAAATGTTAAAGTCGGGCTGTTGGCAAACTAATGTGTCTTCAAAATTGGCCATTGTCTTTGTTGCTGCCATAAAAATTAATGACGATAACATTTTAACTTTTTCTCTGTTACTTATCTTTGATCAACTTTTTCTTGTAACGAGTAAATATTCGAGGGTTAGTGGCTCTTTTTTTAAAAACAGAATTGGGACTCGTCCGGGGCTCGTTCAGGGACGGAGCACTCGTAAAACGTCTTTGGACTTATGTGTGGGACTTAGTTCCGTGAGACTTACGCCTCGGCTATCGAGACTTACGCCCCGGACACGCCCAACGCCCAACGTACTTGGCTCGCTTAATAAAACTTTATGCAATTGTGTGTAACTAACTTTGTAAATCCTAAATTTTCTTAATAAATCGTTGATTATTCAAATATTACTTTTTTCTAAATCATAAATCATTAAGTTGAGAATATTTTATATCATAATTAAAATAAAAATTATTGTACGTTATCTACTAAGACTGCTATAATAGTTAATTTAAATAA